ACTACACTTATTTATTTGCTACACGAAGAACACGTCGTTTCATCACGCTGGCTCTAAACGCCGCGCTCTTTGATGCTCATCTCTTTGGCAGCCGCAGTGTCGAGAGTCTTCGTGCAGCACAGCCCGTTGAAGATGAACGTTTGAGGTCGTATTTAACCGAGCGGAGCGCCGTCTCGTGAGGCGTCTTCAGGAGCGGTGGTCACAGAAGCGACAGGAACAGAGACTCAGTACTGTACATACACACACATGAACATGTTACAGGAAGCATTCAGCCAGGTTCACTCTCTGTGTTGTTTTCCTTATTTGACCTAAACATCAGAGCAGCCTCTTTAAAAAAAAAAAAAAAAAAGAAATGTAACAGAGATAAAAAGAAACAAACGACGACAGCTGGTGACTGACTCGTGTTTGACGTCTGCACTTCCAGACCAAACGTAACAAAAGGAATATCTGTAACACAGATTCAAGTTGAGCTGCCACATTAACCCTTTAGCTGCAACAGTACAAATAAATAAGAAAAAGAAGGGGACATTACTTCATGTTGGACACACACCGTTTTTCTTTACAGGCCGACTTCCCATCAAGTCACATGGGACTGAGGCTGACCTGCCAGAAATGCGTCAACATCCGATTTATTTTAACATAACACGGCTCCAAATGACTCGTAGAGAGGAAAAGGTTCAGTAGGTTGATTTAACTTAGAGCGCTGACAAAAGCGGTCATTGCTCCAGGAAGAAAGGAAGGGGGGGGGAGTCGTCCGAACGTCACATTCTTTAGAAGATGTTTTAGTAACCAACAGGCTCAGGCCGTTCCCCTACAGTTAGACCTTTTATTTTGGTAAACTCATGTTTTTGTTACCTCTGAAGAAGGGGTTAAATCTCTCTCTTTCAGCGCCGCCACACTCCGTTAACGAAAACGGTCATTCAATCTTGCAGAACTCTTTGTTAGAACGCCATTTTTCAAACTTTACCCTTAAAGACAAAAGAGGTGCGGGTTTTTTTTTTTTAAATTGCTCCAGTTAATCTCCAACGAGTAGCAGTGAAAAAACGCCGTAAAGACCTGATACTGATATCGATATTGGGTAGGGAAAAGAAATCTGATGCCGATATGTCGACTGATATCTTTCTCAGATCTATGCCCGTATCAGCATATCCAGTGACTATCGACATCGGCTAATTATATCTCAGATATGCGCCGATATTACTCGATTTATTCACCAGTTAAACAGCATTTCATTTGAGTTTCATTGTATAACACTAGCAGTTTTCTTTCACCAGCAGAGGGCGCTATATGGATTACAACAAGCATCATCACTCTGCAGAGTGTGGAGCGGTGATGCACGTACATGCTCAGTTATTTTCCAGCAGAGTGACCATCTCGTCTTCATTATAAATCTTTTCAACAAGAGTTTGTTAACTGAGGGATCAACACAATAAATCAATATAACTCTACAGATCAAACACAGATCTAAGAAAGATATCGGCTGATGAGATTTTTTCTCTCGCCAATATCGATGTCTATATTGGCCACAAAAATCCCATAGCCCTCTATCACAGCACGACACTGCACAGTGATGATGCTTGATGTAATCTGTATAGCACCCCCTGCTGGTGAAAGAGAACTGCCAGTGTAATACAATGAAACTCAAAGGAAATGCTGTTTGATTGGTGAATAAATCTCCTAACATCGGCGCATATCGGAGATAAATGAGCCGATACAGATACTTGATATGCTGATATCGGCCGATATTTTTTTAAGTTGATGAAATACTGACATGCTTTTAACTCTGCAGCAGAAACGCCTCCAACACTTCTGATGCTGTCGAAGTAAACGCCTGAATCAGACTTAAAAACTGAATCAACGTGAAGGCAAACACGACATCGCAGTGTGTTTCTTGTTTAGACTGTGAGGAGCATTTGTGAGTGAAGAGATGTTACAACGAGGATTTCTGTGTTTTTGTCGGCCGTCTTAAGGCTCAGGAGTTTGTCAGAAATGGGAGGAATTGTCTAACTAAAAAACTAAAACTTTTCTTCTTACTACAGCTCAAGCAGCATGATGAACTGGAGCGTCAGCAGCTCGGGGGGTTGGGAGCTTTTCCTCCTTCAGCTACGACGACAGAGAGATGTCGGTAGTGGAACTGATGCTTCTGTTTTTTGCGAGAATACAAACTAAGTCGAGGTGAGCGGAGCGACAACACCTAAAGAAAACAAACAACACACCACACCTCTGACGCTGAAACGCGCACGCAGCTCACAGACTGAACTGTCCTTCAGTAGCCCAGGTCCAGCTGGATTTTGTGCTCAAAAAGGGCGATTAGCAGCATGATGCAGAAGCCCAGCAGGATGCCGGCGTTCTGCAGCAGGAAGAAGCCGCAGTGGCTGAAGCCGTGGTCCCCGGCGTCGTTGTGCAACATCTCCGGCACCTGGACAGAGAAGAGTGATTTTAACAACTTGAAGAGGAACTTCATCTACCAGCTAGGACTACATGGTATCATCATGACCTTTAGACTAGAATCAAGCTGTAGTCAAGTGAAGAGGGACCCTGCAGGAAATCCTGTCTTTGCAAAACGTTCTCGTCTGTGTGTGAGAAGGTGTCTGCTTCACAGGGCGCAGTGCTGAGCTGTGGCCACCAGGGGTCAGCATCAAACATTGGAACATTTGCTGTTTTCTCTCAGTTGGCAGCAGGTTTTGACAGCTCACTGTTTTTGTGGTTGTGTAAAACTTCAACATGTGACCTGTTTATATAAAAAGTGCGTGTGCGTGTGTGTGAAGAGGCCAGCTGGTCGTGAAGGTCGAGCTGAAGCACTGGTGACAGCTCAGACGCAGCTGACGAGAGCACTTTCAGACTCTTTTCAACATCTCGACCCGACGTCGCTTTTAACCCATGAATCGCATGCTTGTCCACGCCATCTCTGCTTTTACAGATTTATAATTTGGCACGTTAATGTAATTCCACCGCAGCCTTTAATTTGTAACACAACGACCATGCAGGGTTTTATTTTTCATATCAAAGTATCAATTAGGGCCGTCAGTGATGTAATGAAGCTCTGAATTAATACATAATGTATTTTTTTATTTTTTTCTCTCATGTTGTTTTGTCCCTTCAGGCTCTCCGTAGATAGTGGTCCTCAGTGTCTCCCTGTAGTCTCAGTGATGTAAAAGAAGGACACTGCTGCATCTTTGAATGTCTCATTTCACTTTAACAAACTCTCAGACAGTAATATCCACCTGATGACATCACACATTGACCTTATGACATCACACATTGACCACAGTGCACATTGTTACCGTTCCTTTGAGCTGTTTGACGTCACTTTGGGATCACTAACCTCTTCCTGTTTCTGGGCTTTTTCAAAATCTCAAAGTTCCTCGAAAAGGACAGCAGACTTCAGATTAGTCACTTCCTGTGAAGTGGCTGCATGTCTGTGACGAGTCAACTGTTTTGTTCGTGGTGCGTTTAAGTGCATGAGAGAAAAAAACGTCGACTCACCATGTCCACCAGAGCCACGTACATGAAGAGCCCGGCTGTCAGGGCGAATATCCACATGGAGATGTTATCTGCGTAGTGTCCGATCAGGATCCCCGTCACCATCCCCAGGTAGGCCATCATGGCCGACAACACGTTGTAGAGGATGGCCTGACGCACAGTCATACCGGCCTTGAGGAGAACCGCAAAGTCACCTGGGAAACGGAGTGCACATTTCATTCTGTCATCCATCTTAAAAAAAATAATACTGCATGAAGAAACATCTCTATTGTTTGTGCTCTATCAGCACACGATGTGAGCGACCGTCAGTATAACTATATCATCTTGATTCTATTGTTTCCTAGTTGAGTGTTGCGACTCCTCGCTGCTCGCCGTTTTAACCCCGATGCCCCGTTTCCATTTCCCTCTCTGCTGCTCTCGTAGACGGACGAGGAAAGAGGAAGCTCTATGAGGCACTGACACTCACTTTAATCACTCACCACATACTCTGTGAGTAATACAGATTCTACTGAAGAGTACGTCATACAAACCCACTAAATAACAACGACCTGACTCAGTATGCTAACGACAAAACACTTTAATAAAGAAGCGTGTCATACTGCCAACTCTTCTGAATCTGCGGCTGAGAGAGGATGAAACCAAACGTCTTACCTAACTCGTGAGGCAGCTCGTGGCAGAAAACAGCCACAGACGTGCTGAGACCGCTGGACAGACCCTCGGTGAAGGCAGCACCTGCACAGCGAGATATTCAAACACACAATAAACACTTCTGAACGACGAGAAGGTGACACGCCAACATGTTAACATGGCTGCGGTTTGTGCTTTGAAGATCCAAACTGTTAGCTACTTTCAGGTCAGTTTTGTTGAATTTTAAAAGACATAAGAAGGAGAACCCTCATTTACATGATGGCCACTTTACAGAATAAGACGCCGCTTCCATCTGGCGTTTTTTTCTGAGCGTCTTTTTTCAACCCACCGATAGCCAGCCCATCGCTGAAGTTGTGCAGTCCATCTCCCATGATCACCATCCAGGCGAGCGTTGCCACGCCGGCCTCCTGGAAGTGCTGCTCCGAGTAGGAGTGGGAGTGGCTGTGCGGGTGGTGGTTCTGGGAGTGGTGGTGGTGCAGGATGTGGTGGTAGTCGTGGTGGTGGTGGTGCATGCTGTCCGCCTGGCCAACCGTGTCGTGAAAGTGCGAGTGACATTTGTTCTCACAGTCCTCGGCGGTGTAGGCGGCGGCACCAGATGGCAACACGGACACCTGCGGCGCCAGCATCACCTGCTCCTCCTCGGCCACGCTGCTTCCATGCAGGTTGTTTGAGTGGTCGCCGAACAAACCTGCGCCATTCGTCTCCACATCTGGAGAAAGACGATAACATTCAAATCACCATCTGTTATCCTCTAAATGCTACAGTTCTTTTTCTGTTGAGCAGTTAGTTTGTGGTGTCCCTCAAGGCTCTGTTCTTAGCCCCTTATTGTTTTCTCTAAATTGGGTGTCTTTGACCAGATTATTCAATATCATAGTGTGTTTCTCTCTTTTTATGCAGATGACACTCTCTTATATATGCCAGACATCCTGAAGTTATACAAAGATCCTGAGAGTCAGAGAAAAATACATTTTACCCAAAAATCTAGGAGCTCATTTTATGCTAACCTTAACAATTAGCCCTACATTTAAAAAAAAGGCTGCAAGACTCATGGATTTTATTTGATGCTTGCTTCTGTTTGGAAAGATAAGGACAAAAATACGGTTGTTTCTTCGAGGTCAACCCAATTACAGATATAGGGTTGTTAAATTACTTTTACTTTATTGAGACCAAAAGGAAACCTCTGATGTTGAAAAATGAAGCAAATACTAAATTAATAAAAACTGTAGTTCCTTGAGTGCCAACTGGAGGCTGGCTCCGAAAACCAAAGAATCCCCATTAGGTCGATAAAGTAGAAACTGTAGAGGGTTGTAATATTCTTGTAATTGATCTGTTTTGATTGTTTTAAGGATTAAAATCATGGAAAACAAATGCATGGTTAGGGGCGTGGCTACATATGACTGACAAACGGGCAGATTATAGCTGTTTGTCAGGTGGCTTTGCTTCACCTCTCTACCTCTTGCTAGATTGATCCGAAGTAAGGTAGAGACAGAATTACCAATTTTTGTCCACCGCCAACATCGGGCTTCAAAACGTCTCTTTGGACACCAACGGGAGAAGTCACGAGACATTCTAACAGAGATTTTTCTTTTTTAAATTGTGATTTTAAAAACGAAGGATTTCAGACTTTCTGTGAAAAGTTTTTCTTCCACCTCAGAGATGAAGTGAAATTTCATTCTTTTTTGTTTCTGTATCTCATTCCACCTTCAGCTGGTTTCAGGTCGTTCTCCTCCAGAGCAGGCTGCTTCTCCGGATCTGCTTTGTCGTTCTGATCCCACTTCTTTTGGACCTGTTTGGAGAGTTATCAAAATATAATAACCGTAAAATCCAATTTATGAGACAAACTTTTGAAACCTTTTTTTTTTTTCACATCTTAAATTTTGTCTGAGTCCTATATCCAGTATAAAATGCGGACACGCCGTCATGATAGTAAGTGCGGCAGCTGCCACCATCACCACACTGCACGCGACCAGACTCGATTGAAAATAAGCCCCAGTTCATTTTGTATTGCAATGTGTGCTGGGCTCCTTAATGAGGTCATAATGTGCATTTAGCAAACTGTGGTTTACTGTTCAGTATGTGTATAGCTGCTTTGATTGAAAAGACTCCTCAGCTGAAGACAACAACCCTCTGAGAGAACCCCAAAAACAGACTGGGGCTTAAATACTGGTACACTTATATTCCAGATTTTAAAAACCAAACACAGAAGGAACAAAGTCTGACCTTTTGTTTCTTGTCTTTATACATCTTTGCCAGCGTCAGGAAGTGTTCGATCAGAAACATGATGTAGACTCCGCTCAGAGCTGTCAGACCCTTCCACACAGGGTCCAGGTTCTCCTCCTGCTCCTGGTGCGCTTGATGTCCCTCCGAGAAATTCATCCCAGGATTCTCGTGGTGGTGATGGTGGGCGAAGGAAAGAGACTGACGGGATGAAGCGACAAACACTTCATGAATCTCTACCGTTATCAAAGTTTAAACTAAATCACAGACAGACACGACCTGGCCTCTGGACCGACAACAAATCTACTTGGGTCAGACTTGAGGTGATTTTGGTTGGTTCAAACCTGTGGACTACAAAATTAGGGGACTTAACACTTGAACTGCCTGGTCCATTTGATACAACCTCTGGTGGGATAGTTTGTTTGGGTTGGGGAGGTGTGAATGCTCAAAGGAACTCTGGTCAAACATGCAGAGGCTTTTTAGGTCGGGTACAATCACTTCTATCTGAACCACTTCTCTTGACCGCTTCCATCGCTGCAACACCTGTTGACCTGATAACTGCTCTCATATCTGACAAACCGAGGGGTGTCCAAAACGGCCGTGTGGGGGGGGGGTGTCTTAAAGCCGCCTACCTTCTCTGGTCCAAACAAATCCAGATCATTCAGGAGCAGAATCTAAAGTTAGAAGGAGGACATACTGGCTGCTGCATTGTTGCACTTCAACATAGCATGTTTCCTTAATGTCTGATCAGATAGTACTATAGGTCACTTAAGTTGTTACTACATCTCTGGTCAGACAACCTGGGGCAAAGAAAAGAATCAAGTTGTTTTTCTGAATTGGAAAGTGTAGACAGGAAACAGGACAGAGACATTTAAAAAGGCTCAAAATTATTTATGTCTTCCTTTTGCAAAACACGATTAAAGGGATCATGCTGCAAGATGTTTAATAAAATTCCCGTGATAAATAACCAGAGTTGTAAAAAATAACTGGATGTTCATCGTCTGGCTGACTCACGTGGGGGATGAGATGAAGGAAGGCGTCTCCGCTGAGCGTGCCGACAGCCAGCGCCACCAGGAAGCTGAGGAGGAACTTGAAGAAAACTCTGTTCATGAGCGGGATGAGCACGACGCCGAGCAGCGACAGCAGGCTGATGATGGTGATGGAGATGAAGCCTCCGACCCACGCTTGAATAAACACAACAACCGGATCAAACACCTCATCTACCGGAGAATTCTGCAGAAACTTCACCTCCATGTTCACTTTTTAATCCTCTGACTGATATGTCATGAATTCTTGATCTCACCTGTCATGATGCTTTTGCTGCTTTCTCCACCGGAGCGCTCGCTGAAGTCGTGGTCCAAGTTGTCGTGGTCGTGGTGACCGTGAGCATGCTTATGATCTAGAGATCGGAGAGAGATTAAATTCATCCAGTTGAGTCATGAGTAAAAACATCTGTAACACCCCTGGTCTTAAAGGGATGCTTCACCATGAAACATGAGTCTGTATTGACATTGGGTTATATATGTAGAAATGTGAAATACATTTTGAAGTTGGAGCCTTCTTGACCGAGAAAAGGCAGAAAGTGTCTTTTTGGCTCGTGTGGATGAAAGACACCAAATCCCAGAATGCACAGCACCGCAGGCCACTCCCACTAAGGTCCTGTATTTCAGAATCCCTCTCTCTGATTTCTGACTCTATCCGCTGTCCTGTCTGAATTGAATTAATAAATGAAAACAATCTCGGTCCCTCGCTCGTTCTTACCTCTCTCCCCGTGTTGTGCGGCATCTCCGTCCAGGATGCACGCGTCGCTGTCAATCTGGTTGAGGAGGGCTGGGCAGAGGATGCTGAAGTCGCTGAGGGTCATGCTCCCCTCCACAGACATCCCATGTGAGGAGAGGATGCTGGAGGCGTTCAGACACTAGAAATAAAAAAAAACACAAATGAAGTGAAAACGACGGCACTCGTTGAGGAAAAACGGTAAAAAAAAAAAACCCACACATTGAAAACCAGAGAGTCTCTCTCAGGGCGCACGCACACTGGTAACAGATCGCCTCGTGTGAGTGCGCCCTTAAGCAGAGAAAAAGAATCTCAGAAAACATGCTCCAGACGCCTCGTTTTAATCTTTAAAGTTTCTTCTCAGCGGTGACTCACTTCCTAAAGCCTAAAGTATAACTCTTGTTTTATTATTTACATAAAGGTTATCATGATACTACAACTTCAAACTCTTCTTTACCCACACCAGTCAAAAAACAAAACTACTATACTGATATTTCTTTCATTACCACGGCAACAAGGAGTGACCTCCTGGGCGCCTGAGCTGCATATATAAACAAGATCCAGCTCCTTCCCTGCATGTGTGTGCACAGCCTCGAGCCCGGTCTTTATTTCTAAACAACCGATGAAAGTTTTCTCCGTGTGACACTCGTCTGTTCTCTTCCTGAACGGCGCCGCGCTCCGTCTCCGTTTCAAATACGCTGCAAGTCTTATTTTGACGGCGCACGCCTCAAGCCGGACGGAAGAGCTAGGCCTGGACAGGAAGTCAGACAAGGGAGGCTCTCAATCAAAACAATAACTAAAGATGACACCGAGGCTGGCGGGGAATCATGGGAGTGATTCTCCCCCCCCCCCGATGAAAACGTTACCAAGGTGACTGTAGTCATGATGAGCTAAGGTATCACAGCAGCTCATACAGCTTCAGTACGGCAGTTTCCACGGCAACAAGAAAGGACAACATGGTGTCACAACATCTGATATTCAACATATTCAAACGATGTCCAGCTGATGTCCTACCTCCACTCGGTCCTCGCTCCGGTTGCCGGGAAGCCCTCGGTGTACACGCTCGTGCTCGTGGTTCAGGTGGCCCCCCTCGCTGACTGCGGCTGACTCTGTCCGGTTTGCAGAGAGCAGTCCAGCAGCGGTCTGCGTGGCCGTCTGTCCCCTTTGTCTTTTATTACCGTCTGCTCTCGCCACCAGCTGGGCGCTGTACGGCGCCGTGGAGCCGCCCTCCTGCGCCGCTGGCTTCCTGTCACTCGCATCGTGACTGTCATTATGCGGACGGTGGTTATGGTGGCCGTTGTGGTGATTGTGATGATGGTGGTGATTGTGATGATGATGGCCTGCTTGCTCGTGGTGCTGCACCCTCACCGCCCTGATGCGATTCAAACCCACGTTCTGTAAGAGGCGCTTCAGACCGGCCAGAGAGATGGTGCCGTTCTCTCCGTACCTGTTCGGTTTAATAAAACGCCACAGTTACACGTCAAACACATTCAGGTGTAAAGTATGAAACGTTTGTCGGCCTTAGTTTTTAATCAAACGTTAACTTCAGCAGCTCACCTGTTGAACAAAGCCTCCAGGTGTTGTCTCTGACTCTGCTCCGCCCTCTGGGAGTCCACCACAGCCGGCAGTAAACGCACCGCGCTGAGCGTCTCCGTTGTGGGCGGGCTGCATTCCAAACCCACCGACCCGTCGCCACCGGACCAAGTCAAGACTAGGAGGAGCATCACGGCCATGACGGCTCGACTCCTCTCCTCAACCATCGTCTCTGCCGGGGAAACAAACACACAACGTTCAGGACCAGAGAAGGTAGGCACTTTTAAGACCCCCCCCCCCCACACGGCCGTTTTGGACGCCCCTCGGTTTGTCAGATATGAGA